ATACTTCTGTTTGAAACAACACATGCATTTAGTAGACAATGCAAGTGAAAATCTTTGTAGTCAGCAGCTTGGGCATAAAACCCAAGGGAGTTCCTGGGTGGTCACATCCAATTCTCCAGGCTGCCATATTTTAGACAGCATTTTGGATCATCTCTGCAAGCAAGTTCATGCTCAGGTCTTGGATTTCAACCAGGATTTTGTCCTACTTTTCTATCTGTGATGGTGATGCTGCTGCTCTCTTATTTTGGTCTTCCAGCAGCATACACTGACTATTCAGGGTGAGCAGAGCCAAGGTATGATTCAAGAAAGGATCTCATGCTTAAAGGAGGATTTAAGCCTGTCCATCAATGTTTTTTAAAAAAAGTCACTCATTTTGTACATCAAAATTTGTGGTTCTTTTGTGCTACTTCAGGCTTGAATTGAAAAAAAAATAAATACATTTAAATGCCCATCTTTTCATCCACACCTTTCCTCTCCCTTGTTTCTTTGAGGGACTCAGAATCTAATAAAGGATTGCCATAGGCTGGGCAGGTCACGTAGATGCTGACAGCCTCTACCATGCAGGATGGACCAGCTGTGTTTCTAAGAACAAATTCAGCCACTCTGGAAGGGAGGAAGCAAGCACAAGAATTTGCCTGTGATCCACAACTTATTTATAGCCCCAACTACAGTTAGAGCTCAGGTCTTGCTGGCCACTATGAACACACAGTCTGAGCTTCAGTCATCTGTTTGAAGGTTAGGCAGCCTCCATCTCCGCCAACCCCTAAACTTTAATGAACATAGGGCTGTTCTTTGCTTCCTTCCATTAAAGCTCCTCCCAAGCTTAGATTTAAGAGCCTAACAGTAACATTTTAAAAATACCTCAGTGATTTGGGACCACAAGTCACAGCAATTTCATGCAGACACTGTGGTGAAGACTGACCACTGACCAACTCCTGCTATGGAAAAATTTTGGCCACCATCATTCTGAAGGATGGCAAGGAAAGGGCTCATCTCCAGAGAGACAGTGCAGCCTTTGAAAAATATTTTAGTAATACTCTGTCATACACAGCACCAGTGCTGGAGCTGCTGGAGCTCATTCCTCTGGGACAAATTCTTTTCCTCAAAATGATATTTAAACTATATAGTCATTGTTTTTGAGCACAGTTCAAGACATTCCTTTTCCCTTAGCATATATGCCTGTTTGACCTAAACTTAGGAGTTGTGAGAACTCCAAAGGACTTTTGGTAAGTGAGCCATACTGTATGTGAAGAAATATAATTAATTACTCTTGGAGTCAGGCAATGTCCACTACCTAAACATCACATTTCGGTTTGGGTAACAAAACATCTTAGAAAATCTAAATTTAGCCTGGAACATACCTGTATCTTTTGTGATGAACTTACTTCTTAGTATCTGAGTAGTCAAGTTCTCTTAACATCTGCCCTGAAATAGCCCTTCCTATATCTTAAAAAAAAATAAAACAGGAAGAAAAAAAGTAAACACTGTCTTCCCAGAGCATTGGTGGGATCTTTCAGCTGAATGGGCCTTTTTTTACAACTTTTACAACTGATGGGTTGTAAAATTTTGATATTTAATTTCAGTGTAGAAGAGAAATCCCACCCCTCCACCTTCAACAAAAGCTTCAGGAAAATGCTTCAAGACCAGCGTTTGCTGCTAGCAAAAGGCTCATTGCACATAACCTCCCAGGGGAAGTCTCACAAGAGGAAAGGCTCTCCAAGACAAAGATCTCTTCCAACCAGCTGGAAAACAATATGCCTTCATTAATTTACTCAAGATACTGGGACTTCTGCAGAGCTGTGCTACAGATTTTTGCAACACCCGATAGTGCAGACCTCTGGGTTCTAAGGAAAATAGGGAAGAAGAAGCCTACAATGGAGAATTCTGATTTCTGATCTTGCACCCTTGTTAGGGCAGCTCAGGGGAGGTCAGGGCTCCCCAGCATTGTACACTTGCTGTATCCAGGGCTAAGTGAGCACTCAGCTGATTCGTTTTCATACACAAGTCCCCCTTTCTGAGAGGTACTCTTGTTACTCCCTCACTGTCCACCACAGGCAGCATTTGTCAGCCTCCAGCACACAGAAGTTGTTACTGCCCAAATCAGCTTCCAGTCCTGATGACACAACACAAGGTGCTCAGTGCTCACACACCTGTTCGCAGCCAAGAACAGAGCCCAGGAGCCCTGGATGGTGATCAAAGCCCTTATCTCCCCTACATGCTTGCTATCAACAGCTGACAGCATTTGATCAGATCCAGAGCTGAGAACAGACTTGCACCTGAACATGTTTGCCTATCACAACAAAGTTGGCTTTTCCTCCTTAGCACAAGTCTAACCTAAACCACTACTGAACAAACTCAGTGATCTCCAAGGACCACAGGAAAAATAAGTGCTGCTAACAAACTGCTTGATCAGTAAAGAAAAGGACTTAGTACCTCTGGGATGATTTGAAAAAAATGTGGAATGTAAAAATGAATGGTCACAGAAGAGAGGCTTGGCAAGCACTCCACGCCAGCTGAGCAGCCCTAACATCTGGGATCCATGAGTGCCTCAGATCCGAGACTCTCAGCCATGCTCTCCACACCACCGTGTGTTTCAAAGCAAAGGGTAAGGTGGGGGCAAGGCTGCATTTACTTATTGGCACCACCCAGACACGTGCTGAGAGGGAACCAGGAAACCAAAGCAGTGGGAAAGGCCACCAGTCATGGCTCAGCAGACAGGTAGGGAGTTCATCATCCACCTCCAGCAGGGCCTCAGCACAGCCAGGTTTGCTGCCAGGAGCCAGAAGTGACCATCAGTAAACTACCAAAAAGCTCTCTCCTCAACCTACACCATATACCACAACCCTTCCCCAAAGCCAGGGACATTGCAGCTTAACTTCCCTACTCACTGCCATCCTGAAAAATAAGTAGGAAAACATGTTATCATCAGTTTTTCCTTTGTTGCTGCATTGGACTTTGCTATTGCCTGTGTCTTGCTCATCACCATTACCCTAGAAACAGCAAATACTGAACGGACCAGGATAAGAACACAGCCATGGGCCCCCTTGAAAGATAAAGGGCAACCACCAAGAGGAAAAGCTACAAGTATTTTAACTTCCACATGCAAAAAGATCACATTAGAAAATACTCTGAAAGTAAAAAATACAACAACAACAACAAAAAACAACAACAACAACAACAACAACAAAAACAAAACAAAAAAAAAAACTCCCAAAACCCCAACTTTTAATGCTATTTTAAAACTACAAAGACTTCAAGACAGGCAAAGGTGAGTGGAGAGTCAGTCAAACACCAAAAACCCTGAGTAACTATAACAACACATATACCTTTTGGCACACAAATTACCTCTCCAGACAGCTTCTGCAAGGCCTAAGCAGCTTAGCAATCTTATGAAAACCGAGAAATTTTAAAGTGGCTGTGAACTATAATGCTATGAATCAGGTCAACCTTTTCTAGTGTGGCTACTGCTGTAATCCCAGACTTTGGCTTTGCCTGCAACCCATCACTGAAACCTTCCACCAGGCTGCTTGTTTACCTGCAAAGAAAGACGGCTTTAGGTTCAGGTGTTAGTTTGGACTTCACACAGGCTCCCACTCCAAATTCACTACTTGTTTCCTGTTGTCATCCCACACCTTCACTTGCACAGGCAGGCTGTAAATATATTAGCAACCTACACCATTCTTGCTCAGTTATGACAAGGGCCATAAAAAAAAATAGAAGCTATGAATGCATCAGAGTCTGCAAATCTCTCCCTTCCTCCTCATTCTGCTCTAGGCTTGTGCTTTTTGGGGTTTTTTTCCCCCCACTCTTTCCTGGGAGATGTGATGAAGGAGGGTGGAGTGGCTGGGGCTACGCACAAATATTCAGCCAGTCTCTTAGCAATAAATGGATCTCAGTCAGTTCTATTATCCGTCTGGCTGTGGCTCCTATTATCTGCTGTGAATTGTAGCAGCGATCTCTGGAACAGAATTCAGGCACCATCATTACTTCCACACCCTCCAAAGACTGCACTGTAACAAGGCATGCTGGATAATACTTGCCATTAGAAGAGGGAACATAAAGGCTTCAAGCTATGACTAACACAGTAAAAGGCTCTGCATGGGGCTTTTACATTCATTGACTGGGGTTTGTTATTAAAGAAAATTCTAGGTTCAAAACCTAGACCTGCATTTCATACAGCACATCAGCTGACTTACACAAAAAGGTGATTTCATCCTGCTCCTGCTTGCTTCCCCATTCCCCTCAGCTAAATCCTCATGGATGGCTGCAGCTGGAGAGTGGGGAAGGCACAGCACAGGCCTGCCTGGAGCTCACAGTCCCCAGATAGGGACCGTGAGCCCAAAGCAGTGAATTTGTCCAGCCCAAAGTGCCTGGGAGCCTGCAAGGCACCACAAATGCGAGCACCACAGGGAGCATCCAGCAATTCAAAGCTGAAAGCCTCCAAAGCAGCACTCACATGGCTCCTTGCTAGGAACAGGAGTTTTGGGATCCAAACCCACATCTTACTTCCTCGTGCTTTTCACAAGCCCTCCCATTTGTTTGAGGCCCATCTCAAAAGCCTGGATTGAAATTCAATATCTTCCCCCAGGGTAGGATGAGGGTTTTAAGAGAAAAAACCTCTTAGGTCTCCCTCCCCTAGCCAGCAAGGCAAGGCCACAAACATGAGCTCCACCAAAACTCATTTTCTTTTGTGTTTCTACCTGGCAATGGATTGGCTTTAGCTTCCCAGGCACAAAATCTCTGGACAGAGGCTTTCCTGAAACTGGGATATTTCAGAAACCTCCCTCTCCTGCACAGCTTCCCGTATGCTTCTCTCACTTGGACACCTATTTCACAGCAGGGCTTAATATCTTACTATTACCCATCATTCAACATGGCTGAAAAATTAGTCATCAACCTAAAAAGTTATTAAGAAACACTTGATACTGTGATTACTTTCCTGTGGAATGAAGCAAGGGGAAGAGGTAGGGGAGGGAAGGTGGGTCAAACCTTGCCCTTACAATCAGGAAAGCTTTCCCAGTGCAGGAACAGATTTCCTGGGGAACCTCAGCCCACAGGAGAGCACCCAAGATCCCATCCTGGCACAGCCCCTCCATCACTGATAGCCCAGAGGCAGCTGGCAGAGGCTGCCTTAAGTAGAGCTGCTGCTCCTCAGCAGCACCACCCATGGCTAATGTGCTCCAGCTTAAAGTCATTCCTCAGCCAAAAATTGCTCCCAGGCCTCAGCTGGGAAATGCAGCCCTTCTCTCTGCTCTGCCCTTGGGCATTTGGGTCCAGGAACAGGGTTGGCCACTCTCTCATCCATGCACAGAGCAGCTCAGGGACAGGGACAGCAGCTGGCTCTGGAGCCTTGGGCTGTGAAGCCCAGGGAAAGATATGGGAAATAAGGGAAGGAGCACAAGATGAGCTCCACAGGGTCCACTCAGGTCAGGGACATGCAGCTGCTGCCACCAACGACATCTCTTATCACATCTATGAGTACCCCAAGGCATTGCTGAGGCAGAGTGGCCCAGTGCTGTTTTACTGCGTGCTTGGATGGCATTTGGCCACCCCAAACTGCTGTCCCAGGCCACCCTCTGCTCTTTCCACCACTCCTACCCAGTGTCCCAAGAGCTCCTCTAGATCTGCAGATGGTGTGATCTGCAAGCCTGAGCTGGAGACAGTGAATGGCACTAGAAAAAGGGAAAAGCTATAATGGGAAGATAAGGGGGACAACTGGGAGCAGTGAAAAAGGGCATGGGATTGAACCACAACCACAAAAAGCAGAGGAGAACGAAGTATCACACCTCTTCATGGCTATTTTCACGCCATGCACAGTCAAACTCAAGGCATCTCCAGGTGGAAGGAGAAGTAACCTGTTGAGGAAAAACAAGAACCAACAGCCTGTAAAAACATGGCATCTCCTTAGGCAAGATTTTTTGTGAGGCAGAGCTGAGCTACTGTGTGCACCCACTCAACCCCACCACCCTGAGAAGGCATTTGCTGGGAAGGGGCTGCCATTGGCTGAGTCCTTGTGCCCACAGCAGGGCTGGCAGGACTGGGCAGTCTAAAAAGCAACATTTTAAGTGGCTTTCTGTCAGACAGTGCCAAGTATTTGTGAGGATGTTTTTGAGAAGGGGAAAAAAAAAAGAAATACTCTCCCCATTTTTATGTTAATAAAAACATATTTGATTTACATACAGTTCATATGCTTCATGAAAGTGCTAATTACTCTCCCAAACAGAGGAGAAAACAGAAACTTTTTTTTTGCATCCCACCCTTCCTCCTGTCTTACCCTTTTTACTTTTATGACACAGCATTTATTTAAGTCAGAGTTGTGCCCAGCTTATTCTGCCTTTCGCATGGCACATCCTCACCTCTCTTCCCACTCATAACAAAAATAATAATAACTTGCAAATCTATGTCAGTGGAAACTTGGAAAAACATTTTGAAGGGAAAAAATATTCTTCAAACATAAAGCACAAGGACTCCAACACTGCTCCCCCCTACCCCTCTCCACAACTTTTTCCTTTGGTGCACACATTTTTCCAAGGTCACCTCAGAGGCTTTTCCTAGTTGGCTATTAAAACAAAAAAAAACTCCGCCTGCCCCAAGAAGCACATGAAGCCATCACTGTGGCTTGGATTGTTTCCCTGTGTATCGATGCCATGGGAGAAGCAGCAGGGCGGGGTGGGGTGGGGGGGTGAGCTGATATTTTTCCAAGACTTTTTCTCTCACCAGAGGAGGATGAAGATGGAGTGATGAGTGAGGTTCCGTTTGTCTGGCAGCATGAGTCACTCAGCAGCAGTTTCCGATATACACTTTTTTTCTTTTTTTCTTTCCATTACAGAAATTGGTGTCATTTATTCCTTCCTCCTTCTTAAGTAAAAAAAAAAATAATAATAAATCCTGCTACCGTTATGTCTAATTTATTCTGGGAACTTGTCTGAGGACCCACCAAACCTGGGGGGGAAGGGTGATTTGAAACACAATCCAAAATATAATCGGCTCTGGAAGCTTTTAAAGAGACTCCTTTAAGGCTGTGCCAAACCTTAAAGAAGGAAAATACTTCCACTAAATCCCTCCCACCATGAATGGGATCCTGTATGTCTGAGGCTTTTTATTGGATGGGTGGTTTTGGGTTGTTGGTTGGTTGTTTTTTTTATATCAAAGATGTTACTCTTTCAAATAGGGTCCGAGCTCTGTGGCTTTTCGGCAGGCAGTGAATACTTGCTCCTCGGGCATGCAGCGATCTGACACAGCCCTCCCCCACGCTCGGTCGGGTTCTCATGCTAAGATCTGGCTCCTGGAGCTTGGGCTGTTGTTTTTTTCTGGAAGCTGTTTTTTCCCCCTCTTCACCCTTTAAAAGCAAAACTAAACAGAACTAAGCTGTTTAAAAAAAAAAAAAAAAAAAAAAAAAGCCTCACAGGGCCCAGAAACCCAGCCTGACCTCCTTACTCCTGAAATATCAAAATATTCCCACTGTCTGCAGGCAAGGGCTGGTGCTGCCTGTGCTACCTCCACCAGCTCCTCTGCCTCCAGCCAGAACCAGGGGTGAGGCAGGAGAAGACCCCATCATCAAGCAGAGAACATGAACAAGGCATCACAGTTACAGTGCTAGGAGTAATATGTGAACATACCCAGGATTCCTCTTATTTCCAGACAAAAGTAACCGCCTTAGATCTTGCTCCAGTTCTGAAACTAACCAAACCCAAGCTGTCCCCTTGCTGTGACTCCCCTGTGTGGCAGAGCTGAGGCAGGCTTTAAATGGGGGCAATACTAAACTTGTCCTCTGCATTACCAGAGAGCAAGGACGATTGCAGAGCCTAAGTTTAATTATTTTGATGGAAGAGCATCTCGGGGGGTAATGGAAATACTGTTATATTTTATCTAGAGCTGGATGCCCTGCTGCCCTATAGCTCTTTCCTTCCAGCTACATGTACATCCAGGTCTGGAAATGCATACCACTGTAATTTCTGTTTTACAAGGAGCAGCATTAATGAGCCCCACAGCCTGTGGTTTTTTATTCTCTCAGATGCCACATTTAACCTCTGCTCCTCTGCCCAAGTCTCAGCTCTACCAATCCACCCTGTGCTGAGGGGATAAAAGGAAAACTCAGCAGCAGGAGAAAGCAGTGCTGTAGGAGCAGAAATCTTTTTCCTGAGTTCAAAAGACACAGGGAAAAGGCTGCAGGGAAAATGTCTGGATGCTTGGTTGGAGTGGAACCACATTTTGTCTGAATGCAGGCATACAGCAAAGAAGGGTCCTTTCTCTATTGACTAGGAGGTCAGGGACCTCAAGGCACTCTGCCCACAGCCTCATTCTTTACGTGCCATGAGCAACTTCTCTTCTGCATTTCAAGTTCTTCTCTGCTGCCATGACTCCCAAAACAGGTAAAGGCCCACCTTGTACCAGCAGCTGTTCTAGTACAGACTGGAAGGCCAAAGAGGAGCTCTGGCACCCTGGGAGCATCTCCTACTTAATTAACATGCTTCTGATAGGGGACAGCTGCAGCTCAAACACTTCATAGCTCTTCCTTCTCTCTGTCCTGGAGGAGTGAGTGCTCGTGGGCTGCCCCAGCACCAACCTTCTCCCCGAGTCACCCCGTGTTGCGAGAGGAGAGCTCTGGCTGCAGCAGAGGAGTGGCTGTACCCAGAGCTGTCCCCTCGGAGCACAGGGTGACTCGGGGAGCTGGCTCCCCTCCCTGCTGGCTCTCAGGTGGCCCAGGTGCCTGTGTGTCCCCAGCCAGGCCTCGGCCAGGCTGACCACCGACTCCTGTTTGCTGCTTGGCCATGGCTGCTTGGGCCCGCAAAGCGTCTTGGAGACCCCACAAGAAATACTCCCCCTCAGTTCTGATTTCCTGTTTACGATGACATCTTGGGATGTGCTTCCAAGCCAGTGTTTAATCCTTTCACTCTGTCACATTGATTTTGAATCATTCTGGTTTAAGTGTTATGAGTACCAAGACAAATATTTTTTATGAGTCTCAAACCACAAGTATCTTTTTTGACCTTATTTTTAATTTAATCACAAATAATCCCAAATTTAGCTTGACAGGATCCAACTTCCACAAGGTACCAGAGGCTGCCTGATTAAGACCCAGCCTCATGGAAGCAGTTATTTACTGAAATTTCAAGGCAGCTCTGAAAGGAATAGGTTCAGACCTCTGACCCCACAGTAAAAAAGATGCATAACCCCCTCTGGGAATGCAACACAAACTGTTCTGTAAGAAAATTGTGCTCATGCATCTTTACTTTCCTGATGCTTTCATTTTCAGTAGCTGCTAAAATGACTGGCATTTCTCAAACATAGGCAAACATTATTTATTAAAGAAAATTAAAATTCCCTCCCTGAACAGCCAGAGGGTCCTCAGTCTAGGGCACAACCTCAGAGAAATCCAGAGCATGGAAGCACCGCAGACTCCGAGCACTACCTCATCCATCCATGGATCAGTGGCTCCTTGCAGCTCAAGACAAGTTCAATGGAAACTGAAGCCTCTACGCACAGCAATACCATGGCATTTTCTGTAAAGGCGGCTTGCAGCAGAAAGCTCAGTGTGGTTTTTTTCCCCTTCTTGACCATCATGACCCAGATGAATATGTTTGCTGTATGTGAGGGAACCCAACTTAAACATTGTAAGTTAAAGGGAAGAAAAAGAAGTCAACCTCACATCAGGTTTTTCATGCCAGACCTCACCATATAGAGATGTGCAATTATGGAATTTCCTGAAATACATTTTTGCTAGAAAGAGAAGTGGATGAAGGTTACATGGGACTCTGAAGAGCCTCATGAAAGGATACAGGATTTCAACCAAATGATCCACTGAGTGGGGAAAGAAAACCACAGTATCCAGTTTCAGGTGGCAATCAAAGTCTGAGCTCTCAAATGCATGTGATAAAGAAGGTATCCACAAGCAACATGTGCCAGCATGGGGTTTTCAAGCACTGATTATACCTGGAGGCAATGGTCTCTGTGTGCCTCACTAGATCGGTGTTGCTGGCATGAGCCTGCTTATTCATTCCCAGGAAAAAAAAAAAAAAGTTCTTTTAGAGCAATGCATTCTAATATAAATTTCTCTGGCCTTCTTCTAAAATGTCAGCACTTCTGGTCAACTGCTCAATATCATCAA